CCACCGCCCCCCACCTCCAGCCCTGGCAGAACTGAGCACCGCAATGCACCAGGTCTGGATCAAGTTTGATATCCGGGAGCACTGTCCCTGCCAAGCTGATGCCCAGGTGTGGGCCCCTGGGGATGGGGGCCAGCAGGTAAGAAGCACGGCACGGTGACAGAGCACTAGCCGTGGGCCCCAGGATTGCGCAGTGTGATGCACAGTACTGACCTTGGCAGGGTTTGGCCCCTTTCTTTTGATGGGAACGAAGAGGAACATCAGGCTACTGCCCACCCTCCCTTGGGGATTTGGGTCCATGGAGCCAGTGTTAGCATTTGTCTCACCCCTGCCCCCGTCCGCTGCCCAGCAGAAGCCCTCACTGTGCACAGCCAGAGCGCCTATCCACTCTGCGCATGTTCCAGCTCAGCACTTGCCACATCTTGCTCGAGCGGCTTGCTTTCCTGTCCTGTCTGTCCACATCCCAGGCACAGACTCCTGCCGGCGGAATGTTGGCTCATCTCAGTATTCCCTGCACCTCTCACATAGCAGGTGCTAGATAGGCATTTTGCAAAGCTTTTATGAAGCTTGAGTTTTTGTTATAAAAGTTATTCATTCAGGAAATAGTTTATTGAATGCATTTTGCATGACAAGCTCCATGCTACATACCCGTGGTGGAAAATTTGGAAAATATGAACAGGGGGATAAGGAAGAAAATGACAGTGGCCTGTAATGCCACACGATCATTTTGGTATCAGTAGTTTGCCTATCTGTTTATTCGAGTCTGTTCTAGTGTACTTCAGATTGGACTGTACATAGGATCCCATGAGCAATTTTCCCCACCTAACGTTATATAACCTTTTGCTTCTTGTAAACATGATTTTAGGACGTACAAGAGTCTGTTGTTAATGCTTGTGGGTTGAGTTGGATTGAGTTGCCTTTGCCATTTTAAAATCTCTGGTTGGACTGGGGGTGGTGGATGGGTTTAACAGAAGGAGCCTAGAGAAAAAAACACCCCAACTCCACAACCTTCCTGCACGGAGGACACCAACAGGACCAAGGACATCAAAGCGGGTGAGGCCCCTGCCCCTGGTTCAGACTGGGGTGGGCGTGCTGGGCCAGGTGGGAAGCCTCAGGAGACTGGAATGGCTTTAGCCGCCCCCTCCCCCAATTGCTAGTACTCTTCTCAAGTCGCTCCAGAGAAAGTAAATCTAAACAAAACCTAGGACGAGCCTCCTAATCTCCTTCCAGCCAGAACCCCTTCCTGAGCCCTCCTTGGGAGAGGCTCTGGAGCTGCCAGTAGGAAAGCCGGGGTGGGAGGCGAGTGCATCCAGAGCGATGGGCCAGCCAATGAGGAGAGAGTGGAGAGATGGGCCAGCCAATGAGGAGAGAGTGGAGCGATGGGCCAGCCAGTGAGGAGAGAGTGGAGCGATGGGCCAGCCAGTGAGGAGAGAGTGGGCTCCGCCGGGAGATGAGGAAGAGCATGTGGGCAACGGAGCCTCAAGAGGAAGGGGAAGCCTTCACTGTTTTTCTCCCCAACAGAGACCCTGGACTCCACAGAGACCCCTGCCAAGGACCGTGCCAGCCGAGGGCCCCTGCCTTGTCCCTCTCTCTGTGAACTGCTGGCCTCCACTGCTGTCAAACTCTGCTTGGGGCACGAGCGGATACATATGGCCTTTGCCCCTGTCACTCCAGCCCTGCCCAGCGTGAGCAAGGGCAGGGGGGGCACGCTGGGGGCAGAGATGGGGCTGGCCCTCCCTGCGAGTTTGGCAGGTCCTGAGTCCTCTGCCTTCCATCACCCCCTGCCTCCGTAGGATGATCGAATCACCAATATCCTGGACAGCATCATCGCGCAGGTAGTGGAACGGAAGATCCAGGAGAAAGCCCTGGGGCCTGGGCTGCGGCCTGGGCCAGCCCTGCGCAAGGGTCTGGGCCTGCCCCTCTCACCAGTGCGGCCTAGGCTGCCTCCCCCGGGGGCTTTGCTGTGGCTGCAGGAGCCCAGGCCTCGGCGAGGCTTCCACCTCTTCCAGGAGCACTGGAGGCAGGGCCAGGTGAGGCTCTCACCACCCCACTGCCAGCTCTCACAGCCTCGCCTCCCCTCAGGGCCCTGATCCCTAGGCCTGGCCCATCACTTAGAGCAGCGGTTCTCAACCTGTGGGTCGCGACCCCTTTGGAGGTCGAACGACCCTTTCACAGGGGTCGCCTAAATACATCCTGCATATCAGATATTTACATTATGATTCATAACAGTAGCAAAATTACAGTTATGAAGTAGCACCGAAAATAATTGTATGGTTGAGGGTCACCACAACATGAGGAGCTGTATTAAAGGGTCGCGGCATTAGGAAGGTTGAGAACCACTGACTTAGAGGGGGCAGCAGGGGCTGGTCCCCCAGCTGTTCTGGTGATCTCTACCACACACCCCGGCCTGAGCATGTTGGGCACCCCATCTTTCTCCCCGTGTCCCCATCCCCTCCACTACAGCCTGTGTTGGTGTCAGGGATTCAGAGGACATTGCAAGGCAGCCTGTGGGGGACCGAGGCTCTTGAGGCGCTTGGAGGCCAGGTGCAGGCGCTGACCTCCCTCGGGCCTCCGCAGCCTACAAACCTGGGCACTGCAGCCTTCTGGGATGGATTCTCCCGGCCTGAGAGTAAGTGTCTTTGGTGTGTGGTAGAGGGAGCTGGGAGCCAGAGCCAGGTGGCAGCGGAGGCCCAGAGGGACCCTGGGGGCAGCTGGAAGCAGGGCCTAGGGCAGAAACAGGACTGTGTTGCTGCCCTGGGGACAGGGCCTCTGGGCAATGGCCTCTCTGTTCCTCCCCTAGTTCGCCCAAAGTCATCTGAGGGCTCAGTCCTCCTGCTGCACAGAGCTCTGCGGGATGAGGACACAAGCAGGTGTGTATGGGACCAAGGACTGGCCCTCCCTCCTCTCCTCCTTCCCCCCACCTGTGACCCTTGGCACACTCTGCTTGCCTCTGGGCGTGACCCCTGTAGTGGAGGGCTCTGATGGGGTCTCTGGTGCCTGGGTTGAGCCTGCTGGGCATGACTCCTCCCCCACAGGCTGGAGAACCTGGCTGCCAGCCTGCCCCTCCCAGAGTACTGTGCCCAACATGGGAAACTCAACCTGGCTTCCTACCTCCCACCGGGCCCTGCCCTGTGTCCACTGGAGCCCCAGCTGTGGGCAGCCTATGGTACGTGTGCACTGCACTCCTGCCCAGTCCCTGCCCCATTCCTATCATCTCTGTGCCTGTACGTCTGTGCCAAGGTTCTGGCACCTTTTCCCAACTGTCCTTTCTCTACCTCCGTGCAGGTGTAAGTCCACACCGTGGGCACCTGGGGACCAAGAACCTCTGTGTGGAGGTGACTGACCTGGTCAGCATCCTGGTCCGTGCTGAAGCCCCACTGCCTGCCTGGCATCGGGCACAGAAAGGTGGGGTCCTCGGGCGGAAGCAGGGTGGGGACAAGCTGCAGACGTGAGGTGCTGTGTCTGCCTGCCCTGGGCTCTCCTGACCGTCTTTCTCTCTCAGACTTCCTCTCAGGCCTGGACGGGGAGGGGCTCTGGTCTCCAGGCAGCCAGGTCAGCACCGTGTGGCACGTGTTCCGGGCACAGGACGCCCAACGCATCCGCCGTTTTCTCCAGATGGTGAGGAGGGAGACGGGACCCTGCCCTTCCCCGATGCAGCCCCTCGGCTCCCTGGGAGTAGGACTTCCCACCCAGAAGCCCTCCCTGTCTGTGTTCTCTGTGCTCCCCACTCCCTCAGGTGAGCCTCGACTCACACGCATGTTCAGAGAAGGCAGACTGGGACCTTGTGGGAGTCATGCGGTGGGTGCACAGAAAGAGCAAGGGTTGAGGTGGGAGCCAGTGATGAAATGGACTTGGAGTTGCTGCAGGCTAGGCACTGTATTGAGGCCTTGGTCCATTATCATGGTCACACCACTCCTTCATACGCACAGGCTGCTTTCCCATTTTGCAGATGAGGAAAACTGAGGCTGAGTGGTAGAGCTGGGACCTGAGCTTATAGCTGTTCCCATCCCAGGTCACTACCCTGTGCACCTCCTGGGGTCTCTCCTACATAGGCAAAGGGAAGCCCGTCTGAGATGCCCACCTGCTACGCTCCCTTAAGTCATCTACATCTCATGAGGAGGTGCTCCTTGAGGTGCTAGCAAGTAAGGGCTGAAGGAGGCCACCTGGCAGGTGGAGGGAGAGAGTGGACCACACTGAGGGGCAGGGGAAGAGAAGGTGAGCAGGAGGCAGGAAGGGCCAGCGGCTGGGGCCAGCGTTGAGGTTAGGGCAGGTCCAGTTTCAAAGTCTGGCTGAGCTCGGATTGTCCTGGGGAAAAGATGTCCACCAAGTGTCACCCCTGCTAAGGCATCTGCTCACATGCAGACATGCCGATGTCAACATGGCTGCCCACCACCACCTCCTACCCACAGGCATGCACATCTACAGATATGTCGACAGGCACATGTAGACCTGTAGATACACACACAGATGCTGGAACACATCTGCAGAGGGGAGCAGACAGAAGCATCCCTTCATACCCACATGGCAGTCCCATATGGCCAAATCCAATGACGCATGGGGAATCTGAGGGGTGCAGTCTCACTGGGTGGCCTGGGGAGCACTGACCTAGCCCCAGGATGGACTTGAATTGGGGGGCGGGGTCAAAGGAGCCTTGGCTCCTGCCTGGAGCTACCCGAGGGTCCAACCTGGCTTTACCAGTCTCCCCCTCCCCGTGGCTCGGTCTTGGAGCCCGAAGCCCAGAGACCATTGCTGAGGTTCTAGCTGAAGGGGTGGGTTTCGCTGGTGGCCAGTTGGGGCGCGATGCTGGTGTCAGCCTCTGTAGGTATTCCCTAGGCATCTGCTCTGGCCTCTGCCGGTCCTTGTCTGCCCAAGGAGCTCCCTGCTCGGGTTTGGCTGGCAAAGCCGCCCCCATGGCTGTGCTTGCTTCAGGGGCCTTGGCCCGGACGGGCCAGCCTGCCCATCCACTGGGAATCAGAGCTTCTGTGTGTCCTTTCTGCTTCTGAATCTGGGATCATAGAAGAATTTGGATTTTCACTCCAGGAACACCTAATCACCTACAATTTAGCACACAATTCCAATATTCGCTGGAATCCAGGTTAAGAGGGGATATATAGCAAGTTCATGAGTTGGGACTATTCAGGGTGTCTTCCTGGGTTTTGGAGAAAGGGGTATGTTTGCGTGACAGAGGAGAGGGCCCAGGGCCAGGCTCCTCAAGGCATCTGGCTTCAGGAAAAGCGGGGATTTAGACCCCCCTCACCTCAAGGCCCTTAATCCTTTCGTCTAAGCTCCTTTCAGCCAAATCTCCAATCTGCCAACCTTAGTGGCCGCAGCCCCTCACCACCCAGCCCCTTTCTCTCCCTCCTACTAGTATGTCCTCTCTGCTTGCCCTTCAAGACTTGAACACTCAGCTCTTTCCAGTGCCCACAGCCCTGCCCTCGCCTCCCTCCCTTGCTCATTCCCCTTTCTCTTCTTTGAGGTGTGTCCGGCTGGGGCAGGCAACCTGGAGCCTGGCACCCCAGGAAGCTGCTACCTGGATGCAGGGCTTCGGCGGCGCCTGCGGGAGGAGTGGGGTGTGAGCTGCTGGACCCTGCTGCAGGCCCCCGGAGAGGCTGTGCTGGTCCCCGCAGGGGCTCCCCACCAGGTGCGTCCCCAGGGGCCTGGGCTCCGCTGAGAGCTCAGAGTGCCAGAAACAGCGAGAACAGCAGTACAGCGATGCTGCATCCCCCACCTGGTATGGCCTCGTCCCTCTCCAGACCCGGGGACCTAGGCTGGGCAGGAAGCACACTCCCACTGTGGCATTCTTGAACTGGGCTTTGGGTCCGTGGGTGCTGACTCTGCCTGTGCCATCTCTGGCATCCCCTTGGCCTGGTTTTGGCTATGCCCTTGGGGATGCTGGTGCTGGATCCAGAGCCTCTGTTCTCTGAGAGCTGGGCAGGGTCATGATGGGAAATAGAGATCAGGGCCAAGCTGGGAAGTGTGAGTCTCCACTGACCCTCCTGTTCCCCTCCTTCCTGGCACAGGTGCAGGGCCTGGTAAGCACAGTGAGTGTCACTCAGCACTTCATGTCCCCCGAGACCTCTGCCCTCTCTGCTCAGCTCTGCCACCAGGGGTCCAGCCTGTCCCCTGACTGCCGCCTGCTTTGTGCCCAGGTGAGTATGACGCTGGCCAGGGAGCTGGGTGTGCTTCCCAAGTCCTCCTGTGGCACAGCTGGGGTGGCATAGCAGATACAGCTCTGTGCCAAGCAAGCAGCTAGCCGAGGCCAGGAAGGGTGTTCTTCTTGGTGGGGAGAGCCCACAAATACGATTGTGAACTCCGTGTCCTCTCGTTTTTCTCCTAGGTGGACTGGGCTGTGTTCCAAGCAGTGAAGTTGGCTGTGGGAACATTACGGGAGGCTAAATAGAGGGATCCCAGGTGTCTGGGGTAGAGGTGGTGGGTAGGTAGACCAGGTGCTCAGCTCAGGCACAGCATAAGCAGAGAAGACACTGGGGACTCGGGGACTTTTGGTCAATTCCACACGCACCACTCTGGGTACCAGCAGGACACCCTGTTTCCCACTTCTAACCTGGACCCTAAAGCCAACAACCACAGTGCCACTGAAGTTCACACCTGCCCTTCGCAGGCTGGCACCTGCTCCACCCCTGTGCCCCTCTCCATGGTACCAGGCCCACACTGGGGGTGCTGACTCCCTTCAGCCCCCTGCCCCCCAACCCAGGAGACAAACAGCCTTTCCTTGGGGGACTTTGGGAATCACTCTGGCTTAAGCAACACCTTCTGCTCCCTCATCTCCTGCTGTCCCACCTGCGCCAAGCTCTGTTACACACCCACCTCCTCACGGGACTCTGGGCGCCCATGCACTGCAGGCATCTGGACAAGGGGCCGCTGAAATCCTGCCCTCTTGTTCGAGGGAGAGCTGTGACGCGTGGGGCGGGGGTGGCCTCAGGACACTACCCAGGCTTGGCTGAAGGGAATGATAGGGGTGAGGCCCTGTCCCTGTTCCCTCCTCTCACCTCCCTCCTTCCTATTTTCCATTAAAGTCTGTTGTTTTCTGAAAGCCACCAGGCCAGTGTGGTTGGCCCTGCTCCTGCTGGCCACATAGATTGGGGAGGGAGGGGAGACATGGAAATGGAACCAGGTGGGCAGGAGCTGGGCTGTCCCTGACAGGGGCCTCAAACACCCCTGCCTGCTCTTCTTCCCTGGACCTGGGTCCCTCCCTCTCACTGAGCAGATGGAGCCTTCCAGGGGGCTACCCTGAGGATGCTCCTGACAAGCGACAATAGCAAGGCAGAGCCCTGGGCACAGCAGCAAGGTGGCTTTGACCCCAACCCTCCCCAAAAACTCCAGGCTACCCCATCTCTTCCATCTGATCTGACTCGGAGCTCCGGGAGTGTGGCCCAGGAGAGCCCCGGCCAGGGCTTGGCCTGCTGCCTGAGCCGGTTGGCAGCCCCTCCCCATCCCCAGGGCTCTCTGGTGTGGCTCTGCCTGTTCCCCTGCCCTAGCACACCTCAGCCAGCATGCTCCCACTCGTCATACCTGATTGTTCTGCGGTGGTTCGGGAAATGTGTGTGTGATTTTTTTAATAAAATAAAATTTTTTATTATAAATTTAATACACTTTCAGAACATTTAGAAAATAAGAAATGTCACCTGTAATTCCACCTCCACTCACTCTCAACCCAACCACTGATCGTATTTTGGTATATTTCCTCCTAGTATTTCCTCGTGTAAAGGATCTGTGTTACATGCAGTTGAATTGGTTTGCTTTTTACTTGGTTTCTCTTTTAACAAACACTCTTGTGATCATTTCCTGGGTTGCTACCTAACCTTCATTATTCATGGCTGCTTATATTCCCGAACGTGGCTTTGCCATGATTTACATAGCCATCCTTCATTTTAAAAAACACCAAAAAACGTTCCTTCATTGTCTGCAAAGCTAGATTATTTTCATGTGATAGAAAAACAAAAAATTAAGGGACTCCTACACTTTACTGTGCCACTGTTTTCCTTTAAGTGATTTCATTTAACCCGGTGTCATGATTCTGAGGTAGATGTTATTTATTTCTATTACACAGAAGAGGAAACAGGCAGTCTGGGGGGTAAGTGAGTCACCCAAGGCCACATTGCAATTTCAGTGGCAGCATTGGGATTTGAACCACTTGTCCTGACTCCAGCCGCCTCATTTACTTGGGGCTTAATGGCCTTTGCAGATGGCTCTGCTGTCTGCTCTGTCCTCCTTCCAATACATGCACTTTATAGCTGATCATGTTCCAAGTGGCACTGGGTGACCCATCCCTACCTACACTTCTCCTTAGATAGCCTTGTCCTGATGTCACCCCAGAACACCAAATACAGGGTCCTTCCTCTGAGAAGATGGGGGTGGCTCTGCCACGGGGCCTCTTTCTTCCCCACAGACCTCTGCCTGGGGTCACAGTACCCTCCAGGGAGTATTGGGTCGGACTCCATGCAAACAGCAGGTGGACCAACTGTCCCAGGACTGGACTGGGGATGAAGCCAGTTCAGGTGGGGACTGGCCTTGAGACTTGAGGCACTTGGTGGCCCTCTTCCTTACAGAGGCTTAGCTTGTCCCCCACCCAGTCCAGCCCTTTAGGCCTCTGCTTTTCCCAGCAACCCCACTGCCCCTTCACCTCCAGCCTCTCTCGCTGGCCCGGATGGCGAGGCACACCCTCAATGCTAGAAATGACCTCAGGTGTGTATACTTCATGCTACCTCTTTCTTTTTTTCTGATAAAGTACATTTTCTAGATTCTTAATTTTGAAATGATTGTAGATTTACAAACGAGTCACCAAAATAGCACAGACCATTCCCAGTTATCCTTCAGCCAGCTTCCTCTCATGTTAACATGGTACATAACCATGGCACAGTGATCAGAACTAAGACATTGGTTTCCATACAACACTATTAACTAAGCAACAGACTTTATTGAGATTCACTAGTTTTCCCTTGATGTCCATTCTGTTTCAGGATTCACTTCTGCCTGTGTCTTACCAATGACCCAGAAGGTAGATGTGGCTTTCCCAAGATCACAGCAAGCTAGTGGCATCGCCCAGGTTGAGGCCAGACCTCCTCCCTAACCCTGGGCTACTGCCCTCCTTACCCTTCCCACTTTGACAAGGGACAGGGTTTGTTGCTCTGTGGCCAACTCTGGTGTTACAGACACCCTTGCCCCGCCCTGCCTGCCCATGCCATCCCTTCGGTTTCTGAGGTTGCCTACACTGCCCTTCTGCACTCCTACTCACATGCATAAGTGGGTCCATGTGCCCTGGAATGGCTGGCTCAGGCTTCGCTCCTGTGGGCACTGTACTGTGTAGACAGGCTGGGCCACCCCGCTGCATGGCCACCCCCACCTGCCAGCGATCTTCCCTCTCTGGAAATGGAGGGCACGGAGCAGACATGAGGGAGACCTTTCTTTGTTTCTGGTTCTGAAGATTTCTATCTCAGCCCCCCGTCCTCAGCTTTTCCCATCTGTCTCAGGGCCTCTCCTGCCTCAGTCTGGGGTGTGCTCCCTTCCTTCCAAAGCCTGAGAAAGTCTGCCTTCTATTGTCTCCCTCAGCTCCCAGGAAGGGCTGGCACAGTCCGAGGGCTTCACCAGGGCTGCCCTTCACAGTTTACAAGCGGCTTTCATAGTTGCCTCCTGTGCTCCTCACCACAGAGGTGATTAGGTCCACTTCAGAGGAACGGAGCACTTTTCCCAGCGATAATGGGGGGAGTGGAGCCGCGGTTTGTTGAAGTCTTTGCTCTTCTACAGTCAGGCTGTCTGGTGTTTATCTTAGGCTGCCTCTGAGGCTCTCACAGCCCTGCCCAGACATGACCTCATTCTCTCTCAAATCATCCCCGGGAGGCAGAAAGGAGTCTGGGACCAACGCTGTCCCCACTTCACAGATGGGAAAACTGGGGGATACACACACACACACACACACACACTATGTTAACAGGTGGCTCTGCAGTGCAAGGAGCCTCTAAGCCTGGTGAGTTCAGCTGTTGGGAGGCAATAGGTCTGGGGCTGGGAGCAGCAGCGTCACCAAGTGCCTCCAAAGAGTGTGGGCCCACAGCCTCATACAGCGCCCGCCTCCAGGGATCTCAGTTCATGTGTGAGAAGGGCCTAAGGAGGCAGACCTGGTGTGGCTGGAATTCCCTAGAGTCTAGTTCCATGGTGGTCCTGGAGGCATACTTCATGAAAGTGGGCCTTTGTGTTGTAGCAACAAGTGCTGTGGCCAGGAGGGCCCAGCCAGGAGTGGGGGCAGTTGGTGGGCTGCCTGGTAAACAGCCCGTGGAGCTCCTCCATGACATCTCAACTCCCAAGAACCCTGTGAAGGGAAAGCTGTGAGCCAACCCACAGATGGGGAGACTGATGCTCACAACTTACCCAGGGACACAGCCAGCCAGTGGGCAGAGGTCGGGCATCTGGCTCCAAGTCCATTGTGTTGTCTGCTCCACCAAGCAACTAACCTCCTCACCCCCCTCACTCCCCCCAAAACACACACACACACACACACACACACACACACACACGGAGGTGCACAAAGGCAGCAGGAGGAAGAGGGGAGACCTAACTGAGGATCCCAGATTTGGCTGGCTTCACAGTTTCACTCCAGCTGGCCCTGCCTTCCTGTCCTGAGAGGTGGTTAAAGGAAGCTCTGAGGAGGAAAGGTCAGGCTGGGAGAGAAGCGGGAGCTCGCCAAAATCCACACCCTGCTCTCAGAGCAGCAGGCTGAGCCAGCTGGCAGTGGGGGCAACAGAGATGAAGGAGCAGAAACTGGCCCCTGCTCGCCCAGGGCTCCCAGGCTGCAGGGTAGAGGGCGCTGAAACAGAATAGGAGATGCCAGGCAGGGGGCTGGGACGCTGATCCCAGGACCTCTCTGCCCCATCCCCCTTTTCCCACTGCCAGCCACACCTTGACCATCCCAGCCCTGCTCCCTCCCTCCTCTGAGCGCTGTCACACCTCCAGCTCAAACCAGTCATTTAGCTCTCGGCTTATAACCCTGAGTTGACTTTTTATTATATGTCTACATCTACCTTCCCAACTAGATCAGAATCTCCTCCAAGGCAAGAGCTTATGTCCTCTGTTACAGTACATTTTTGGTGGGGAAAAAAAGTGGTTATTTAGGAAGTGATCATTTTGGGCAATGCAGTGGTATGTTTATGACAAAAAAGCTGGACAATGCATCGCGGCCCCAGACCTCCGTGACGTCATTCGGCTTGTGACGTCACCGTCGCTGGCTACTGTGGCGCTCCGCAGCCCACAGGCAGGATGACGCAACCGTCAGAACCGGTGCGGACCTGTGCGCGCTGGAGATGTTAGCGAGGCTGGCGGCTAGAGGTACCGGGAGAGGGCGAGGAGAAACGGGTAGAGAAGCCCAAACTGGGTGGTGTTCGCATTGCCCCGACTGGCCCCGCCTCCGCGATGACAGACGCGGGTCAGCCAATCCGGGCCGGCCGCGGGGAAGCGCAGC